CCCTTCCCCGTGCTCCCCACCCCTGCGAGCCAGCCTTGGAGCCAGGGCCACGGAGCGGGGGCTCCCGTCTGCTTCAGGCCAACATGTCGGGGGTCCCCCCAGACACGTTCCTCGTCCCAGAGGGAGGCAGTCGTTTCAAAGGGCCTCAGCCAGGTCCCTCCCAGACAGGTTTTGTGGGCTGCCCCCCCACCCCCGGGACAATCACAGACACGCCTGACGTGACCTGCTCTGGAGGGAGCCCCGAAATGCAGAGATCTGGATGCCAAAGACTCTGGAATCAGAGCATCCTCACTTGGGGGCAGTGAACGCACACCCCCCTCGCCGCCTTGATGCAGGAACGCCGAAATCCCAATTCTAGCAGAATTTAGCTCACACGGTGAACACAATCCAACTTCCTATATGGCCCGGGAGGTCCGAGGACGGTGTGTCCAGAGCAGGCCTGCTGAGGCTGGGCCTCTGGCCACACTCGGCACCGATGCTCCGGGGCCCGCAGAGAGACTCCCGGACTGCCCGGGGGCAGGCCACGCACACCCCTCCGTGGCTCGGGAGAACGACGAGGTAGGTGAACAGACATCTCAGAGGAGGAGGCCTGGAGCCCGGGCCACGAGACCGGGCCTGCAGAGGCACGAAGCGCCCAGCCGGGACCAGAGGGGAATCGGGGAGTGGGCTCACCTTGCACACCCTCGCCACCCGGGGGATCATCAGCTTGAAGACAAACTCGTACTCCACGGACACCTCGGTGAAAAAGAAGTACACCCTGTCGTCCCCGCTGTCCGTGCCGTCCGGGCTCTCTCGGATCACGTCCGCAAAGACGAAGTTTGGCTCTGCAGGCAAGAGACACCCGGTTATCCCCCCGCCACAGCGCGGGGCCCGGGCACCTCCCGGCCAAGGCGCAAGCTAGTGCCTGCACCACGCCCCAGACAAACCCCAGGGCCCGGGGCGGGCACGGTGCCCATCCGTCCTCCTCGGCATAAGGAGGTGCCGGAGATCGCGGTTGTAACACACACGGTCTGGGCCGGCCCCGAGAACCCAGGCTGCGCCTCCCGATGGCAGGCAGCCTGGGGACCCTGGGGACCCTGGGGACCCAGATCCCAGAGACCCGCCAGAACACACGCATCTGCTGGTGCAAACAGCACGTGCCTCAAGCGGACAACCCCCGACCAGCAGACCCGCCCCACAGTGAGGGGAAGCCAGGGGTCCTTCCTCCCCCAGACCACCCGCCTCCAGGAGGTCACGGCCCGCCGGCCGGCACCAACTAGAGCCCCGTGTGAGCAGCTGCGAGAATCCACCACGCACACGTTATCCGAAGGTGAGCGAGCCGGTCAGCCTGGGTGCAGGGACCACCAGGCTCTCGTGTCACAAAGAACCACCACCTCTGTGTTCAGGGAGAGGAAGGCCCCAGTCCGGAGCCCCGGCAGCTCCAGAAGCACCCCACATGGGGCCGTCCCAGCCCGGAGGTGTCTGCGGCCCCTCGCTGGGACTCAGAGCCACAGACGGACAGACAGACAGACCCAGGGGCACCTGCCTCTTACCGTTAAGCCACGGTATCGCGTACTCCGTCCTCAGAGGACTGTGGGACGAGTTTCGGGAGATGATGGGCTCGCTTCCCAGAAAGTTATAGGACGTCCCGGAATACAGCTCCCCATCTTAAGCGGCCCCGGAAGAAAGAGGAGAGGAGGGGTGGTCGGCAGCCAGACACGAGCCCCCGGCCCAGGGAAGCGGGGAGGCCACGGATGCCGCGTCGCGAGCCTTCCGTCTCGGTCCCTCGCATGGACGACTGTGCGCTCCACGCGAGAGCTGCTCCACGAGCAGCTGGGGCGGGAACCCCAGGGGACCCGCACCCGGGAAGTGACACGTTCTGGTGTGAGCTGGGCCACGGGACGCGCACAGAGGAGGGACACAAAATGACCCCTTCCCACACACGTGACCTCTGGCCATGGGGGGTGGCCGGTCACCCTTCTGCAGTGAATCCGAGCGCTCGTACAGGGGTCTACGGAGAGGCTGCGTCTCCTCCGCCGGGACAGGGGGCGGGAACTGGGGGAGGCAGCCGAGCCCGTGCTGACCTGGGGCGGGACTCACCGACCATGACGGACGTGTAGCTCTGTGCGGGGTCAAAGGGGCACCTGCCCTTGCCATCCTCGCTTCTCCCCAGAAACTGAAAGGACGTTAAGTTCTGCGAGCGAACGAGAAGACCGGGCATCACGCGGTGTCTGAGTTCCTAGTCTCCCGGCACCCTCCTGCCCTGCCATTTACGTTCACAGACTCGCCGCCCGGGGGCACGGAGGGGAGAGCACGCGCGGGCGGCCACGTGAGTCCCAGGTCTGGACGCCGGCGCCAGAGAGCCGCGCGGGACCCCGGAGCCTCGGTTTACTCCTCTGTAAGATGCTGGCGGCTCTAGGGCCCCAGAGCAGCCAGGGCAGACCGGAGGGGGGAGGCACCCAGGGAGCCATCGGCAGGCCGTGCGCCAACCACATCCAACAAGGACGGCACCCACGGCCGTGGCGGACCAGACCCATGGGCAGAAGCAGCGGCGTCCCCCCCTCCTGCCACCCCACCCCGTACCAACAGAAAGCACGGGGGACGGCTTCAGTGTCGGGGACCCTCCTGGCCTGACCCGAGAGCCCGAAAGCAGCCAAGGAAGGCGTGAGCAGCCCCAGTACGTGAGGAACGAGCAAGCTCTGTGCACAGAGACACGGGGCCCCGAGCCCGGGGACAGGTGAGCGGCTGGGAATGTGCCCGCGCAGTGCAGGGAAGCTGGAGGGTCAGAGAAGAAACCCGCCGCGGAGGCAGAGCGGGAAGTCACGCGCCTGCTGCGAGAAAGACGGGACGTGCCTGCGTGAATGAAGGTGGGCACCACCTCCCGCCTTCCAGTGCGGAGAAGCTGAGGAACACGGACAGCGGTGGGGAGTGGGTGCGGGCCCGTCGCCCGTCGGAGGGAGGGCTCACGGGCCGGGGGACCTTGGGCCCACCTCTCCAGGCAGACCCCCCTCTCGGGTCTCAAAGCACAAATTGGGGCATGAACGGATGGCCCGTCTAGGGGAGGTCTGGAGGCCGCCTGAATGAGGGGGGCAGAGCGGACACGAGAGGGCGTTGGGAATGACTGTAAATCTTCATGGGTGACGACAGGCTTGGCGTTGGTCAGGTAGGCATGTAGGGGTCACGCGGGTCAGGGTGCCGCACGCCCACGTGTGTCCCTTCCCACGCAATCTAGGTGCCAGATACACAGGCGGGATCCACTTTCCCGTCGGCGTGAACGTCCTTCTTGAAAATACGGGGCCGAACAACAGGCCCGGATTTAAAGGAAACATCTGACCCCTTTACAACTACGGGATTGGAGTCTCCATCCGTTTTCAGCTTCGGAGGGGCTACACTCCAGCCAGCAAACCCTGTGACGTGTGGGCGTTTCTCACACGACCTGGCACGCTCTTCCCTTACACAGAACCAGGCGACGTCTGTCCTGAGGACCCAGACTCAGAGCACCGCACCCCACAGAGCCAGCGTCTGCAGGCTCAGACCGCCAGCCGGCCACGCGGGTGGTGCGCCCACCCCGGGGGTCCGTGCGCAAACTCCGTCTGCCCGTACTTTGGGCTGTCGTTTATCTCTGACTCAAGGTTGGAGAATCTTCTTTAAATTCTAGTTAATTCAGGGTTCCAGCAAACGAGGCTCTTGGTTGAGGCATGCATGCTCTGTGTCCCAAGTCGGGGACGGTCACTAGACCACGTGCCTCACTCTGAATCCCCATGTGCGTTTAAAAAGCGTCTTCTCTTCTCCCGGTGGTTGTTACAAATGGCTCATCAGGTGCCCGAGTAAAAGGAATTTCTCCCAGCAAGACGCTGCCGTCCAACGTGCCCCGGGAGCGAGGGCCTTGGGAGGACGCCGTGGGGGCCCCTCTGCAGAGGCCCCAGTGCAGCAGCAGGCAGGCCCGGCTCAGCAGGACCCATGCAGGTGGGCGAGGGAGATGCTCGCACAGTCGTGGGTGCTGTTGCCCCCGGGAGGGGGTGCGCTCCGGGGCCAAGGTCGGCGGCTCCGTGTCCACGGCAGACCCACATGGTGAGGCCCCAGGAGCGGACAGCAGCCGGGCCGTCCCAGCGGGCACAGACGGGCGGCTTCCGCACACACGCCCATTCCCTCCGGCTCCGGAGGCTGCAGGCTGAGGTCAGGGATCCGGATGGCCGGTGCCTGGCGAGGGCCCCCTTCTCTCGTCCTCATGTGGTGGAGAGGGGGCTCTGGAGGCTTTTCCCAGAAGGCTGTCAATCCTGCGGGATCAGGGCCTCGCCTCTGTGACCACATGTAACCGTGATAGTTCCTCAGAGGCCCCACCTCCGAATGCCAACACATGGCGGGATTCGGGCTACAACGTGTGGATGTGGGGGACACATTCGGGCCATAACACAGGTGAACCGAGAACACATAGTCTTCTGGGGCAGAGTCCTGACACCCCCCTTTGACCAGGATGCAGGCCGCGGCAGGGCTCCCCGCAGAGCACAAAACGTGGCAAAGAGGACACAGGAGGCCGGACCGTGGCACCCTGGGGCTTCTCTGTGTCGCCAGCACACTTCCCAGCAGGTCTCCCACTGCCAGCTCCGCTGGCCCCATGGGTCCCGCGCTGGTGAGCGGCCACACCCTCACGCCTGCTGTTGTGCAGAGCGGGGAGCCCCCGACGCCGCCTGGGCCCCACCAGCTGCAGTACCTACCCGGGACGAGGTGGCGGGGGCCAAGGGGCGGGGCGGGGGGCCAAGGGGCGGGGCGGGGGGCCAAGGGGCGGGGCGGGGGCGGGGCACAGCCTCACCAGGTGGTCACAGGCTGGCTGGAAGGCGTTGGTCCCGCACACGTACAGGGCACCAGGGCCAAGCGGCTGCAGCACGCGGATGTAGTTGAGACATTCGGTCTGTGGGAGAGAAACGCGCCCGTGAGCCGTCATCCGGCCCCCGGGGACGCCCGCCCTCCGCCACCCACCCGCACGGCAGGGGGCCAGCTGGCACGTGCCTGACGCGGGCTCATCACGCCATGCCTCCCGGCCGCCCCTCAGCTGCCACCTCGGACACCCCCGTCTTCTCGTGCTGGCTCGGCCCTGCCTGGGCGGCGGGCACAGCCTCGGAGCCCCAGTCCCCCCGACAGACCTGCGTCTGCCCAAAGGACCCAGCACTCTGCTCTCTGCGGCGTGCCCCCCGCCGGCCGCCAGGGGCCACGGGGATTTCACCTCAGCCGCCGATCGACACTCAGCAAAGACACGGACTCAAGTCTTCCCGGACACCCGCCACTGAAAATCCGCATTTACACGCACCCGACACACAGCCCGTGCCTCACACGTGCGGCCAGAGCCGCAGAGGGGCAAGTAGGTGGGATCCCGCCAGCCTTCCTCGCCCCCAGGAGACCCCACCCCGCCGGCCCCAGTGCAGGGGACAGGCTGGGAGGGAGGGGCCGAGCCGGCTCCGCGTGAGAGAGGGCCCGCAGGAAAACCAGATGTCACTGAGGAGCACACTCTCCAGGGCTGGCGTGGACCGGGAGGCATGCGCTCTCGCCTGAAATCATCTCTGCTCGGCGAGGCTTCGTGGGTTTCTTTTCGCTAGGACGGTTTTCAACTGGCTGGCAATAATTCGTCCTGCCCACAGGAGCCGGGAGGGGCCTGCGTCCCCGTGCCGCCTCTGCGCTGGGCCGGGTGAGCCCTTGGTCCGACAGCTCTCAGACCCTCCCCGCAGCCCCAGTCATTACATCACAAAGCCTGCATTCTCCCCATTTCTTAAGGCAACTTTGGATCGACTGACTTCAGTACAAGTGTCTGATGTTCTGCTAAAAAAACTTCAGCAAAAACTTTCTCTTTTCTCATTTTTGATTATTCTGCAATTAGCCAACTGTTGAAATCTACCTTAACTCAGCTATCCTGCCCCCCACTGCCACGGAAGATGGGCTCCGATGCTCGGAGACTCTGACATGGGCCCGGTGACGGTTGGGGGCGGGGGCGGGGGGGCCCAGAGCCCCGGGGGAGGCAGACGCTCGGCCTGGCATCGCCCGGGAGAAGGAGCAGATTCTCAAGGGGTGGCTGCTGCCCAAACTCCAGAAATCCCACGGCGCCCCTTCGGGCTTCTGGGATGCAGCGGGGGTCTGAACTCTGCCCTTTACACCGTCGGCCAGCAGGCACCAGAAGAAGGTACCAGAAGGTACCAAGTTTTGGGGCCACTTGAATGCATCCAACGAAGCCAAACTTTAAAAACATCTCTCAGATGCCCGACACATTTGGCACCTGCTCAGAGCGGCCCTGCCTCATCGCTTGGGCACAGGCGCCTGGCAGGATGCGGCGCGACCACGTCACCAGGCTGCTGGGGCTCCGAGACCGGAAATTACCTGTCTCGATTTCCCCTTTTCTGCACATTTTGCCTTTTTATCTTCTGAGACCTTCCAATACGCCTGTGGGGAGAGAGGAGACTCCGTTTCAGCACATGCTCCCGTTCAAGGGGGAAGGGGATACGGCGTAAAAATGCACAGTTTACAAAGAGCGCACAAGGGAGGCTTTGTAAAGCGAGGCTGGGCCGGCAGACGCCGGGGTCCGGAGCCATCGGAGCCCCCCTGGCCGCCCAGCATCCCGTCAGTCGCCGCAAAGCAGCAGGAAAGCTCAAAGGGCTGACAGTCGGGTTTTCAGTCCGTCACAGCGGGCCAAGCCACAGGTGTTTTCACACAGCGGCGCGGGCTCCCTCGCCCCAAAGCGAACGGAGGGCGGGAAGAAAAGGACACGGGTTGCGCTTCCTTTGGCCGTCGGTGGACGGCAGGACCGGCTTCCCTCAGCTCCGCAACCGTGGCCGTGAGGGGGCGAGCGCCCGCTCCCCCCCGCCCCCTTCCCAGCACCTGAGCCAGGGGACGCATCATGGGGGGCCGGCAAGTGCCCCAGCCCCTCGCCCTCCAGAGGACGGCGGCTCCCCCACACTGCCTCACTGTCCCCAAGCCGTCCCACCTCCCCGTGTGACAGTCCCATGGCCGGTGCCCAGACGAAGCCAGTCACCGGGTGCTCAGAGGTCAGGATGCGCCCGGAGCTGCCCGCTGGCAGAGTGGCGAGTCCCCTTGTACACGGTCCTGCGCTAACTCGCCTCCCGCATCCGCAGTGCGGGACGTCTGAGCGGAACTCCTACCCGGAACGTGCAAAAGCAATGTCCCGGCAACGGGCGACTTCCTGCGGAGGCTGATGCGCAAACCGTTTCACTGCTGCCTGCGTGAAGTGCACGAGGACCCGGGACGTGCACGCTGATGGGCCCCGGTCACGTTCCTAGGGTTTCACCCAGGCTTCCCTTTGTATCTGTCACGTCCCCGAGGCCCTGGGCCCCCAGGGGACAAGGACGCATCAGCAGAGCAGGGAGGCTCCGGGGGCACCCACGGGGTCAGCACTCCCCTGATCTTCGAAGGCTGATGGCCACAAAACCCCGTCCGTGAGTCAGGCGGAAATAAGCACGCGGTCGGGGACGAGACAGAACACCGAGGTCTGGGGCAGAATCAAGATTCTCGACTCCAGAGAGAAGCAGCCCACCCCAGCCGCTGGGGTCGCGGCTAAGCAGCCAGCGGTGGGGGAGAGGCCGCCCGCCGGGGAAGGGACGGTCTGAGCATCGGGGCGGCTCCGGCTGCCCGTGGATCCAGGCCCTTCAAACACGGCCCCAAGGTCATTCTCAAAAACCAGATATCCCAACACCACTCTCTCCCTCTGGAGGGAAGGAACTCATTAAAAACTGGCAAGTAACAGCCAATATTCTAAGGGCTGATCCAGCCACTTCCAAGGAGCTGGCCCCGCGGGACGTGAGCAGCAGATAGGTGTGCCCTCCCCCATCCCCCCCCAGACCGACAGCTTCCTGTTCCCAACACAGAAGGGAAAATCCCGCTCTGTGATCCTCGAGGCACCTGTGGCCCTGCCCTGCTCTGCACAGGACCCAGGGCTGGGGCGAGGACCTCGCCTCGGAGGAGGGGCCGGCCCGTCACTGAGGGCGCAGAGCGGTGGCTTTCCCAGGAAGGGGCCAGCACGGCGGCCGGATGTCCAGATGTGACGGGAAGAGCGGAGAGCCTTGCAGACGGCCCCGCGTCAACGGCATTCAAGCATCCATAGGAGAGTCTCTGATACCCGAACATCAGCTATTTGATGACACTTTTGGACGTGACCATGGCGGTTGGGTTACGTGCACAAAAAGAGTCCTTTCCTTTGGGAGACACCTGGGGAAGCCCTATGATGAAGAGTGCACCTGGGACCAGTCTCAAAGCCTCCAGAGGGAGCAGAGCACGAGGACAGGGGTGGAAGAGGGCGACCTGGCTGCAGGACCCGAGAGGGGACAGGCCTCACGGTCACCGCTTCCTCTGCCCTCCGGGTGGCCGAGATTTGCCGTCATGAGAAGTGCAAAACTCCAAGAGGAGAAGGGGGGCCCGGGTGAGTGGCCGGCCCAGGGAGGGCAGAGGCCGCCCGGCTCACCTGGGACACGCGGCCCGGCCGCAGGCCGGAAGCAAGCTTCCGGGTGACCGGCCCGTGGGCGTGTGGGACCGGTGAGGGGCCGCAGCCCAGAAGGGGCCTGACGCCCCCGGAGAAGCGCAGTGAGCGGCCCCGGGGGGCAGAGCGGGGCGCCCTCGCCTCACCTCGTGCTGCTTCTCAGAGACGTTGAGTGCATTCAGGGCGAACACGGCCTCCCGGGCCCCCACGTACAGGGTGCTCTTGTCCTCGCTCAGCAGCAAGACGGAGTAGTTGAAGATGCCCGGCTCGTGGAACTTCTCCAGCCGCACCTCTGGGGGGGAAGGAAGGACATGAGCCCGGGTGCCTCCCGAGTCCCCGTCTTGCTTCCACGCACACTCGCGTCGCGAGGGCCGCGGCGGATTCGCTGCCCCAGAGCTCAGGCGCCTGTGCGAGAGCAGACCCGCTAGGACGGTCACCCAGAGCGCGGGACCCCGCGAGGCCCCAGAGCCACTGCGCTCGACCGGCACTGTGGCCCGACATCCCTTGAGCTCCCTCAAGCCCTGCACTCGGTGTGGTCTCCCGGCAGCATGGCCGCCTAGTGCATGACCTCTAAGCACGTGACCTCCCAGGAGAGTCATCTCCAAGAATGTGACTTCCCGAGAGCGTGACCTCCAAGCACGTGACCTCCCAGGAACGTGATCATCAAGCGTGTGACCGCCCAGGAGACCGCAGGCCGTCCTCACGCCTCAGGCTGCCGACCGCCGTGTCTCCCAGACTCTCGTCTACGTGTGTTTAACCGTAACGCGCAACAGGCGTATGAAGAATAAAGCTAGTTAAGATTTTCTTGTTCAGAAAAATCATGATTTACCTCAAAACCTTTAAAAAACACTCTGTTTCACTAAATCTGTCCCTTAACCCAAGCATTTTTCAGGCATAACCACCACAAACCTGTCAAGCAGAGAAACAAGTAAGATTTCTCACTTATCAGGTAACCGCATCCGTAACCCCGAATACGAGAGACTCAACAGTCAGCTCCTCAGGAGGAGGATGAACGCATGGGCGTTACTTCTGAAGGAGCGCTTTCTCCGCTCTGTCCGTCCGGCATCCGCGTATCTTTTTATCTTTCGTTACGTAGATTTTTAAAAGTTTATTTATTTTGAGAGCGCGAGAGTGCGCACGTGCAGGGGAGGCAGAGAAAGGAGAGAGAGAGAATCCCAAGCAGGCTGCACACCATCAGCGCAGAGCGCGACGTGGGGCTTGAACGCGCGAACCGTGAGCTGAGCCAAAATCAAGAGTCCGACGCTTAACCGACTGAGCCCCCCAGGCGCCCCTGGGTGCGCCTTGAACCTGGGTTTCCATGTGTCACTGGGGCTCACGCTCTCTGCTCTCCTGACCTCCCCGTGCCGGGCACGGATGCACGCGGACGAGGCCCTCCCGGCACGCGCTGCCTGGGGTTGTGCTCGAGACCACTCGGCACCCCCTGCGAGCAGCCAGGGGTCTCAAGACACAGCCCCCGGGAGGGGAAATACATCAGAAACGAACCGTGGGCAAATGAAAGCAACCGGCCGGAAGCTCAGCCACACGGGTTAAATGTCCTAAAAACAGGCCATTCAGTGTGGTTGTGCTCGGCCGCCAGGCGCGAGGGAGAGACGCGTCCTCTCCAGGGGCCCGATTTAGAAACCTGGCCAGCAGGCCCTGAGCAAGCCCCCACGTGCTCCCCGTGACCCAGGCACCTCCCCCTTCGCGGCCGTGCACCCACCTACCCAAGGGCGCCCACCTGTCAACCCCAAGAGCAGGGGGACCCTTACCTCTGTGCTCCCAGGTGATCCTGGGGGCGGGAGCAAACGCCACCACCACCCCGAGCGCCGTGGCCAGGGTGGCCAGCAGCCCCCCGACGGGGACACACATCCTCACGGGTGGGCGCAGCAGAGGGGGCTCTGGCAGCAAACGCTCGTGGGCGGGGGGGCCACGGTGGGCGTCACGGCAGACGCTGCTCAGAGCCTAGGAGCTGTGACCCACGGCACAGCCCGGAGACGCTGGGCGGGATGCGCCCCGAGGACCCGCATCTCCCGGGCGCCGGGCAAGGTCACCACCGCCAACGTTGAAAGGCCAGCCGGTTCTTACACGGTGTGCTTCTTTCGGCCTCACGGAGAAATTCTGGAAGCAAGTGAGAAGAAAGGTTACGGCTCAGGAGGCGTGTGCTAACACCAGCTTTCCATTCCTCGACCCGCCCCCTGCTCTGTCTGCGCAGGAGCGGGGGTGGTGGGGCTGCCACGGGGCTCCCGGGGGCAGCCCCGCACTGACCACACTGACACCGCGTCCCCCAGTCACCTGGGGCGCGGCCGGGGCTCCAGGAGGTCAGAGCTTCCCGCCCCTCGGGCCCGCAGAGCGTGGGACAGACGCGGGGACCCAGACCGGGCCACTGCCCGCCTGGCCGCCCAGCTTCCTCCCTGCGCGGCCAGCTCGTGACGTGATGGAAATTTGTGGAACCAGGGAACGCTCTCCCTCTAAGACCCTGGCTTCCCAGCTCCCGTAAACCCCGTCGAGGTCAGCCAGGGCGAAAGACCAGAGAGCCGCACGGAGGCTGAGCCGTGGGCGTGTTTGCACACACACACCACACACATATGCACGCGCACACGTGACCTTGCCGTGCGGGACGGCTCACCTCCTTCTCCTCCTTCCACCCGCAGGTCTCCCAGTCCAACGGAGCCCTGGGCCCCTCTCCGGAGCCCTCCCCTCAGCCCCCTGATGGCACCACCCCCCCCCCGGGACATACAAGGGGCAGCCCGCACCTCCTCTCCTGCTCAGCCTCCCCGGGGCCCCTGCAACCTGCTGTACCAGCCCCTGCTGCTCCCTGACACTTCAGGCCGAACCAAACCTCCCAAGAAAGTCTTGGGAGAAGTTTTCATTTTCTCTTCACCTAGGCAAGCCACTGCCTCCAGGAAGCCCTCCGGGGCTCCTCCCTCATCCTGCCCCTGGAATCCTTGTCTGAGCCTTAAAGCCCAGCACGGCTTGTCCTCAGCATCACTCTGGACTTGCCGGGGGTCTTCTCTATTTTAACTTCGTCTATTTCTCACTCGCGTGCATGGGGTGCTGCGACAGCCCCACCCCACTTGGTAAGGGAAGGACTGACGGCGGGGAGGGGAGGGCTCCTGTCCTGAGCTCCTGCCCCCTGGGGGGACTCTGCGAGAGGGCTGACACCGGGCACAGCCAGGCCTCAGCTGCTCGCCCGCCTTCCCTGGGGGGGGAGGACCCGCTCCGTACCTCCTGTTCCCGCAGAAGGCGCGCCCAGCGGGCCCCATCCACCCAGTGTCTGCCCTCAGCCTGAGGCCACCATCAGCCCCTGAAGGCGAGGAGCCCGTTCTCTGCAGGGACAGGCACCTCCTGGGCGGGGGCCGGGGGGGCATTATTTTGGGGGGTCTTGGGTCCCGCGGTCTCTGTCCCGGCTCTCAGGTCCACGCGGTGGTGCAAAAGCAGCGCCAGCCGCTGCGTGAACGGGGGAGGGTGTCTGCGTGCCAACAAAACGACTTACGGGGACGGGCGCCGGTCTGAAAGCCAAGCCCCGCGCCGGGGATCCGCAGCACGGCGGGGCCGCCTCTGAGCGCAACCCAAGATGCGCCAGGAAGCCCACGGGGGGAGGGAAGGAGGCTGTGGCCCACGGAGCCGGCTCCCCGCGGCTCGGCAGGCGCTCACCGGGGGTGGGGACCACGCCCTCCCGCCCTCGGGAGGGGAACGAGGCGGCTCCGGAAGCCCAGGCCAGGGGGGGGACTCGACTGTGCCGCGTCCCCGACGTGACCCGCTCGTGACGCAACCTCAGTGTCCGGTGAGCGCTCAACACCCCTGCAGAAATCCCACAAGGCCCGGGGGAGCAGCGGTCTGTGCGGATGCTGCTGGCGGCTCAGGAGCCCCGGGCGCCCCCTGGCTCCCCGCCCCCAGGGCCACCCCATCACGATGCGATCTAAGCAACACCCACCCCCAGCCGGACCTCTGCGCGGCTGCCCAGGCCTTCGCCCCGCTTCCGTCCTTGCCGCGTGCTGCAGACAACTACCCGCTTGTCCCAGCACCCGCGTCCCTTCGCTCTTACGAACAGAACCCTGACTGTAGCCGGGACGGCAATGTGGCCAGCTAGCCTCATCTCCCAGCTTCCCCTGGGGCATTCTGGCCAAAGACATGGGAACAGAAGCTATTAGGTAGGAATTCCAGGAAGGCTCTTGAAGAAGGCTGACTCAGCTAGTGTTTGCCGGGTTTTTCTCTTTCGTTTTTTCCTCTGTTTGGTGCCTGGAGCTCAAATGTGATGGCTGGAGCTCTGGCAGCCACCTTGTGAACATGAAGACAAGGGTCTCATTCTAAAACCAGCCGAGTGGAAATCCACTGGGGACCCTCACAACATACTGGAGACCTCACACCTGCTTTCTTCTGCCTACCTCACTTGTTAGTAAGCAAATAATCTCTAAGTTACTGTTTTGCAGGTTTTTGTTACCAGCAGTCCGATTAATTCCAAACGTCCTTCTAGTACGTTTATGAAACAGCAGCAGTGGCCACAGTAAGGTTTTTAATGTAAATCAGAGCATGTCACTTCCCCACACAAGACGTCTCTCTCTCTCTCTGATTCAACCTGAGTGGGGAGCTATGGTTCACCTCCCTTACAGCTTCTGCGTCTCACGTTCCCTCCACCTCTCTGTCCAGGCCACAGCTGGACACACTGAACGGGCCCGTCTGCAACCTGTCAGCACCATTCACAACATCCCCAAATGCGTCTGCTCCAGAGATCATGCGTGTAAAGCCCACGGCACAGTCTCGTTTACCCGAGAAGATGTTCTCCCCGTGTGGCTGATCGGTCCCCGGCAGTGGCTCCCAGAGCCTCCGTAACTCTGAGCTCCCGCTCGGGTGAGGGTTTCCGGGAATGCTCCACACCAGGGTGGTGGTGAGACCGGGGGCTGCAGGGCAGGCAGGAGGGGAGGAGGGGTAAGTGCTGGGGTTGGAGGATCCTTGCTGACCCAGGGAGGCCGTGTGTGTGTGTGTGAGGACGGGGTGTGAGGGAACTCGGCGTACTTTCTGCTCGGTTTCGTTGGGGCTCTAAAAGTGCTCAGGAAAACAGAGTTCATTAAAAGCCAAAACACACACCAGCGCAGGGGCGCTTCCTGATCACAAGAGGTGTGCGTGTGAGGTTTTGGGCAAGCGTGTCCACAGCCCGCAGCACCTTCTGGTGGCAGACTCGAGGTCCGGGGGCACGTTTCGTTACCCCCCCCCCCCCCCCCCCCCCCCCCCCCCCCCCCCGTTGGCAGAAATGTTTGCAAGGGCCCAAAGACACAGTGACTTCCCACTCAGGTCCCCGAGAGAAGTCACTGGCCTGGGACATCCCGGGACGCACACCGCAGCCAGGCTAAGAACCCAGACGCAGGGGACGGCAGAATCCCTGTGCAACACGGCACCCACACTCAGAGCTTCATCTCAGTCTCCTCTCAAGCCCAATCAAGTGGCATCTAAGGGACAGAAACCGTAAGGGCAAACATGGGGACAGCACGTGAGCCCATGAAAATCCAACAGAGCTTGGGAACTGGAAAGAGGACACGGGAACATCGTCAGCGGTGTGCCGGCAATTGGGGACAAGGGGCAGGGGTGCGGAGCCGGCTTCGCAGCGCGTGCCCATCTCTGGGGCGTAAATGGCGCCTCTGTGCTCCCAGCACAAAGTCACCGAACACAGACACAGGACGGATGCGCGGTGGCCACCAGCACACGGCCCTCCCGCCACACGGACACGGGAGGCTTGTGGCTTCAAGAGCATGGCACTGATGGGTAATAGCACAGGCAACAGGAACGTGCACCGGGGAACGGCAAGTTCTTTGTTTGCAATACCGTGCATCGAAGTCTGTGTGGTGCGGTTCTGATAAGGTCTGCGCCCACCGCCAGTGCTCGCATACCGCGGCTGGTATTTAAGGGACTCTGTGGACAAAGGAGAGCCGTGGCCAGACCCCGTGACAGGAGACCACCAAGCATCTGAGCAAATGAAAGTGAACTTAGAACTTAAAATTTTGGTTAAAGACACAAAATGTCCAGTTGAACATCAGGAAGATAAAATTCAGATTTCCTAAAAGGTGCACAATGTGACCCAGATAAAAACCGGGGGAGAAAAGAGAAGGGAGCTGGATCCTGGAGTCCGGAGGCCCACGCCTAGCTCGCGGATGTTCCAGAGGGAAGCAGAGACACAGGGATTAGCCGACAAAGAAGAAGAGAGTGTCCAGAACAGGAAGACACGTGTTTACAGGACGAAAGTCCCCAGCAGCACGATGAATGAATGAAGGCCACCGCACCCGGCGCACTGTGCCGGCATCGGAGACCCTCGGAGACAGAGGGGGTCCCGGGAGCTTCCACAATGACCTCTCGGGAGCCACCCTGACGGCCAGGAGGCGGCGGGATGCTTCGAGAATCCCAGAGGAGGAAGCTTCTCACCGAGAATCCTGTCCCGAACCCAGTTATCGACACGTGAGCTGAGCGTACGCAGAAACGTTTCCCAAGCCTCTTACCTCCCTGACGCCCTTCCTCAGAGGGCTACTGAGGGATGCGCTCCAGCAAAACAAGGGAGCCGCTTCGCATGTCCCTTCCCGAGAAGGAAGAATGACTCCGAGCAGGACACCCCGTGTGGTGCAGAGCGGGTGCTAAGGGTGCGGGGCCAGAGGCCCGGAGGGTGCAGGTGAAGCTGGAGCAAATCCTTCAGGGGATTCTAGAGGGGGCGGGGAGGCAGAGAACCCCACCCTCGCTTCCACGGCAGTCCGATGTCCCATCCCGTGCTCCACCCCACAGGTGCCCCCAGCCTGGGCACAAGCTGCCCTTCTTCCAGAACATTCTTTCATTGACCCTGGTGGCCGGGCCTCCCCCACAGTGACACTGGCCCCAGGGCCACTCCTGCC